CAAGTTAATGAAGAGCTGTCTTCTTGATTCCCCTAAAACAATAACTCTGAGAGGTGAATAGCTTGATTCATTTCTACGGGTCATTAACTTTCACGCCTACAGATGACAACGTTAATATTCACAATGTGAATTATTTCTCTGCTGATCACTTCAGCAGAAACGCACAATGAGCGTGCTTATTGCATGATCTAGCACTGTGCCTGACACCCCTCTGGGTCCCTAAAAACTCAAAATGTCCCTAATGACCAAACATAAAGGTTTCTCCTTCTCAACTTAAACAGCATGGTTGTCTCTTGACAATACAGAAATCTGTGGCAATTATTAGCTGAAAATGTGGACGGTGTGAAATAAATCAAGTTTTAGAGTGAATAGTAAGGCATGGGCGGATGTACTGATTTACACCTTTTTTTAAATTTAGCTTATTAAAAACTGCTGGGTGTTTGAGGTGTGTGTGTTAAGGTGTTGTCTCAAAACCCCCAGCCCATTATACTTAAGTAGTTTAGAATTCAAGGCTCTGATTGTAGAGTTCAAAGATTAATTATTAGAGTGAGTGAGGCTTGATCAATGCCTTGGGCCTTTTTTTAGTGCTTTAATTAATCAACAAGAACAGAAATGTGTAATGCAGATGAACACAGTCTCAAGTTACCAGAATCCCAGAACTCTTCATAAGCAGATAAAGGGGGCTCCAAAAGCAGCAGCATATTGGCACTTTTATCTGTGTAGCACCACTTTCTTAGGTGATGTTCTGAGCTAGAAATATTGAAAAGATTGATGTGGTTGTTTCTGATGTGCTCTCCTGGAGAAAAGAATTGTCTTTTGAGGTAAAAGTAGTAATCTGGTAACTGAAATGTTCGTGATTCACTGTTGGTTCTTGATTCTATTGGCAGCCAGTTGTTGTGACTGTTTCTCTTGACTTTTTTTTTTTCTACTAGTCCCAGGTCATTTTGACTGGAATCTACCACTGAGTATGGTTTCCCTAATCCTGAAATCTACAGTAGTTTGCAGGATTTTCAGAGGAAACAGATTTATTTTCTGTGGACCATTCTATTTACCTTTGCCACTGATTTTTTAATCATTATTTCTGTACCTTTGTTTTTCAGTGTGCTCAGATATAAGCTTTGTTTTGCTTCAGTTGCTCTTCATTTAAGAGTCTTTCTGTCCTTGTTCTTGTATGTGAAAGTTTTGTGCTGTTTTCCCCATAGACTTTCTATTATTTGCATTGCATGGGGAGGTAAGAACCCGTAATATCATTTAACATTCACTGCCGTGACAGAAGGAAATGAAGCTGGCTAAAGCCAGCCACTAGATCATTTGCCTAACTCTCTCGCTGTTTAGCTTTTATGGCTCTAGCAGGAGACTGGGAAGAGGAAGATGATGGTGAGGCACATTCTGTATAGGTATTTTACACTTGTCTCAGCCAATTTTCTTTTCTGTCACTTGTGTGATTTCATACTGTATGTACACAGACAGATTCCTTGAATCGTCACGTAAGTTACAAATTCCATTTTGTTTCCCTGAACTGTGAGTCTTCTTGTGTCTTGGGGCTGTCATGTGCTAACAAGAGAAGGGAGAAGTGCCAGTGTGTCAGTCATCACAGACTCTACATGTAGCTGACTCTGAGCTAGGAGAGTCAACTGAGTAATGGGATCTTAAATAAAGACAGTATATTCCTCTCAGGAGGAATCAAAACAAAGAAGCCAGATAGCAGTGTTTGTATTTCAAAGCCAGGAAGGATCCTTAGAAGAAGCTTGATGAGGAAGGAGAATACAGTGGTGCATGGACACAGTGGAGGGATCCCGTGACACGGAGGCAGCAGCGAGACAGCAGAGGCTGCGATTCGAGGGAGCCACCCTGCTCTGCCCAGCGACGGGGTTTCCAGGAAGGCTCCTGGGCACTGGAGGGGATCAACCACAGTCTCAAACAATATTCAGGAACAGGGAAGAAATGTAAGCAGGGAAGACCTATGTGTGTTTATTGTTTCATGTGGCTCTGTGCATCTCCTGTGGTCGTTACAGTGAAGAGCAGCTGGTTTTGAGCCTTTTTGCAAAGTCTATGCATTACCTCAATCAACTTTGTGTGATTAGAAAGAAACAAACTGCCACTCAGATGCTGCGATGGCTGAACTCTGGGACTGAGTGAGCTGAGGCTGTGGGGATTTGGCAGCAGTCACAAGGTCTGAAACAGGGATCTACATTCTTAAAAAGAGGTTGCCTGGAGACCCAAAGCAGATGCTGGAAACTTCAGAGCATTTTCATATGGAAGCAGGCTAAGACTTTGCGAGTGTCCCACAAGAGGTGTATTCTAGGTTGTAACATGTCAGTCCTTGACTTCTTACTGTCAGTGAAATAAGAGACTGGAAGAAGAACAAAAAATGAACATAGTAAGATGACAAGCAGTACCATAGGTGGCTCAAGGCAATGTTTGGCGTACATACGCAAGCCAACCACAAAATGGAAATCATCGTGTGTGCTAATTTGCACTGAGCACAAGACTAATAATTACCACCAACAGACGAGCTATTAGCTCAGGCTTAGTGCCATGCTAAGGAAGCTACATAGCTTCTGCCTGCCTTGGAGCATGGGAAAAGGAGGCTTGCCTTTGCTTGAAACATGGACAAAGCAACTCCTATATATTGACAAATGAGCTGGTGCGCCCTGCACTTGCTGGACTATGGTTAGCAGATTTCTGACATTTAAGTATTTTTTTTAACATGTTTTACATGGTTTTTTTGTGCTGGATGATGTGATAACACTGGCCTCGGTATGAATAGCTTTATTGGACGACGTCAAAGCACAAGCTCCTGTGAAGTGTTTTAACAGGAATGAAACGCTCAAGAGGATAATGCAGAGGAAACTAATGTAAATGGTTCTTCTGCACAAACTGCAACTTTTGTAATCTGTTTTGGGAGTGTTTGGGGGGTATTGTACTTTCCTGCTTGTGTTTTTGGTTTGCATTGACTCAGGCACAATTCGGAAAATGTTCTGAATTATGTTTTGTGAAAATGTAACTTACTGTTCAGAGGGAGGTGATGCTTTTGTGATGAAGGGAAAGTATTATAATAGGAAAATTAGGGATTATTGTGATGTCCAAGATTCCAGAATTATTATTAAGCCTGAAAATAGATTAACTGGGGAGATTACGTTGTATGATTTCTGCATATGTAAATGGACATATAATTATCTATCACTGTAAAATATTAGCGCATATTTACTGAATAATATGCAATTCAACTTTATAAACAATTGACAATTACTCCAAATTTGCATACAATGTGAAGAAGAGTCTCTTTATTCTCTGTAACTGTAGCATTTGGCAGATTCAGGAATAAATAATCTTTTGTGGCAAGGGTATGCCTTATCAAACATATGCAGATCAGTGCTAATTAATGCTAATTAAGGTTTCCTGTCTATCTAGTTGGAAAAACGTCCAAATGTTATGAAATCCAGTTAGTATGCCTATTACCCTAATTGTTTTATATGGGATGGTTCTTAATTAAAATATGTAAATTGACCTTAATTGCTATATACTAATGGAGGTTCATGTTATCTCACTAAAAATGACAAGATGGTGAGGAGGGGTACTTAAACAAATAATTCTCATACATTTGTAACTAAATGACCTTTACTCAAAAATTATTTTTAATTGGAAATTGGCAAAAGAAACATTTTACCATCTATGTTTCCCTTTAGTTTTAAATAATGTCAGAATTTACAGTTCTTTGTTTAATATAGATACAGTGACATTGTAGCTTAATTAAGACTACTAAACAAGTCAACATTTTGTGTATTTACTCTCTGCTTCAGAATTGTTTGCTAACCTTATAGTGACCTTAGGAAATGTTGTGTTTTACAACATTGATCTGAATTTTAACTATTTTGGGGTTTTATTTTTGGATTTTGATATTTGTTTTAATCATGTCATTAAATTCTTGAAGTTCGGTACACTGGTATGCTTTTGCTAGTGCCCACACCGGTGATTCTAACTTTATATCAAGGAGGCTAGTGGGCAGGACCTTTTGCACTAGACCTATTTGTGTAGGATTCAGACTTTTGTCTTGATTGGTAATGCTAGTTCACACATACGCTGTTACACAACTGAGGCCTACACAGATTTTTCCACAAAGTCTTGTCTGTATTTTCTACCCAACACAGAAGCATTATTTGATTGATGTGTTGTATGCCGGTAGCTTTATAGGCATCCTGTAATTGGCATTTTCTTGATAGCTGAAATAGCTTGTGGTACGGTTTAACAGCAAGAGCAAACATTTTTCTGCTCTGATTTAAAGATATAATTAGACAGTCTGCTGACTTAGAGCGCTGGCCTCCTGTACTGCGTTTAATATTTTTGCCTGATTGCAGGCTACAGTAATTCTGAAAACATACGGTTTGTAAAACTTTCTACTCAGGCACATTGTGCAATACAGAGAAAAGAAACTTCCCTGCGTGCTGTGCGGCTCGGCAGCATAAACGTTGTGGAGCGTTGTCGTGCACGAGTGGCGCTGCTCAGCTTGCAGGGGCAGGCGCTTGGGCAGAGCGCAGCCTCGGTGGTGCGGCCCCAGCCCCGCTCCCGCGGCCTGCCTTCTGTGGGCTGCGGAGGGTCGAAGCCCTTTGCCGTTTGCTGGGTTCTGTGCAGGCGTGGGCAGCAGAGGCTCTGTTCAGCATGTCTCATGCCCACGTGTCTGTCTGTCCCCGTTCATTGTAGAGATGATAGCCTGGAGATCTAGCCATCCCAGAGCTGGGTCTAATATGCTGAAAGGTTTCGGTGCCATATCTTTCATATTCTAAAAAGTAAAGGTGAATCTTTCATAGGAACTAAATGGGGGGGAACACTTTGGTTTCTTGTCTTCCATATTGATCCGCTACTATAATCTCAGTTTTCACTTGTAACAACAGTACATTTTTAAAAGGTCTGATACAGCTATGTTTGTATTATGTTCGTAGACATCACTGATATGTACCTCACTTTGCAAAATCAATCTGAAAGATTTCACTGTTTTACAGGATATTGTGACCAACGTTTCTCCAAGGATTGTGCGTGGAGTTACTTCAGGTCCTATATACGGCCCAGGCCAAGGCTCTTTTCTAAACATTGAACTGATCAGCGAGAAAACAGCAGCCTATTGGTGTAAAAGTATTGCTGAATTAAAGGCTGACTTTCCGAACCATGTAAGTACTACTCAATCATAAAGATGCAGTATACATATGTAAAATCACCTATTTCATATTTACAAAATAGAATGCCAGTTTCTTTACTGACATAAGAGCGTGTTCTTAAAAATCTGAAGAGCTCATCAAAATCATTTTACGACAGCACATTCTGTGACATGACTGCTACAAAGGCACAACACAAACAGAGAACCATCATTCTTTCTTTGGTTAGGATGATCTTTATGTTCCAATAGATAATATTAAAGAGTGGATCCCAGTATGGATGCTTAGGAGTTTTGCTGTGAATAATTTTGTATATGAGATCATATTTAAAGATCTAACTTAATCATTTTCATTGTGAATTGAATTTAACTATAGAAACGATCTTTGTTCTTTTCATTCTTAATCCAAATGCAGAAGGTAATTCTAATATTTTTTTAAATGATTGGTTGCTTCAGGAGAGAAGAAACAGTGCTGACTTAAATTCATTACAAGGATAGGGTTTTGTTAGAGCCTTCTTTGCCCTGGGCAATATCTGTCTAGAAGGCAATAATTAGAGCTGGGAGCAAAGATGCCAGCTAGCTGGCATAAATGGATTTCAGCCACTGTTCTAGTGAATAAGAAGATCTAGGTGGAGAGTAAAAATCACCTTAATCATTATTTCAAATGGATGGACTTTTGGATTTCTAGCTCTAGAGGTCTTCTCTGTTGAAGTTTTATCTGCGTGGTTCAGCTGTGAGGAAAATAAGGGAACTTTCCTGAATATATTATTGTATGAAGACAGTCAGATTTCTTTTTTCTCATACCTGGGCTTTAAACATATGCATCTGCAAGTATAAAAATGCTCAAACAAGTTATATGAGTAGAAGAAGTTAAATGAATGTTTAATATCCCACTTTGCTGTTCGTGGATTGTGTGTTTCTTTTCTGAGGTTTGCGTCACTTTAACTATGATTGGACTTCACAACAGGTGAAAGTGTGAATCTAAAGATAATATTGTAGTTCTCCCATTTTGATTTTAACAGCCACCTTGTAAGTCCTAAGAACTAGCCACTGATATGGGATGAAGAAATCCCAAACTTCAGTGGTTCCCAGGGTGAACACTGTCTGATCATCCCTTACTACGCCAGTTATTACTTTTAGAATGTTAATTTAGCTTCCGCATGCTAGCCTCGTCTCTCGTTGCGGAATCGTAGAAGTTAAGCTATGTGTGGATATTGAGAAAACGGCGTCCAGCAGCATAACTTGGCTTTCCTCACAAAGATTTTTAAAATGTGCCCCTAAGCTCAACTAAGAACTGTCATCATTTTAATGGTAGATTTGTTGCTAACTGCAAGCAGATTTTTGTCCACTTGAGTGGAAATCTCTTGGTGCTTATTTTGAAATACTCTGTATAATTAGAGCTTGCAGAAATTGTTTTTTCTAAATCTTGTTCACTCCTGTAGAAAAGCTTTTTAAACTTGACGTGTTGTTTTTTGGGGGTTTATTAAACCAAAAACACTTCTTGAGAAATGTCTCGGTGAACTTAATTAACAAGCAAAGAAGGACGTTTTCCACTCAAATGAAAGCAAAGCGGAGATGAGGGCACAAAAGTGATTACAGTACAGAAACTTATTTTGCTACAGTAAATATTAAAACAAATCAAAATTGATATGTGATTACATTTGCTATGTGGAACAATTAGTTTAAGGTAAAATTTCTTTTATAGCCAAAAAGAATATGAGCAAAATAGCTAGCTCACCAGAACATAATCCCACAACAGCATCCTGTCCCTTTTCTGTCTTGAAGAAATGAATTATAATGCAAAAGGAACTGCAGAATTCCCTCACCATAGCCTAGGATTTAAACTAAATCTTACAAGGGGTAGTGCAAAAGAGGCCAGCTGGCATAGCTCAGTGGAAAATTTCACATACTCATGACATATTTTGCTCTAGATCAGGAACTAGTATCTTCCTTGGGCAGGAGCACCTTTTCGTCCCTCTAGTGAGTGAAGGGGAGAGGGCTGTCTGATTCTTTGTCCCTTCTGGCTCTTGATTCTCATACTTGGTTTGTGTTTCTCTGGAAAAGACTGACAGTCCTTTCCAGTCTTCTGTTAGCTTCTCCCTTCAGCTCTGATCAGAGAATCCCCTTCAAGTGGTCTAGGGCAAAAGCTCTCACCAGCAGAAACTCTAGAACCTTTATCATTTGCATCGATGCCGGTAGGGGTGAAATAAATATTTTTAGGGGCCTAGGTACAGGAGAAAGCAGTAAGAAGAATGATCTGGATTTTGTAGGTTTGTTTGTAAAGTAGCATCAAAATCACTGCTGTTTTGATTTGAGATATTTTATTATTTTTATTGTTAATTTAATGCCTGTTTTATAGATTCATCAAAAAACCAAAAAAATATTTCCTGCTAAGAAATTAGATGACACACACAGTTCAGGTCCAAGATAATTTTGTCTTGGGGTTTTTTTTTAGCGTAAGTCAGTGTGCTGCTTCTCTGTTAAAATGATTTGCAGTTAACAATGGGATTGTTTTCCCCTCTGGTGCTTCATTGATTTCAGTCAGATATTAATTTGGCAACTTGGTTGTGACCATTTTAAAACATATGATATTATTCAGCATCATTTACTGTTAAATTTTCAAAGGAGGCAGTTTTAAAAACACTGAGTCCGCCTCTGTCTTTTATACCAAGACAACGTCCATTCAGTCAGAGAGAGTTGTGAAAGTCAGAAGGAAATTGGTGTATTTGTATCTGTGGTCTCCTTTTTACTCTCACAGATGTCCTGGCTTTACTTGTTTATGTTGGCCTGTCCCTTTGGTAGCCGAACTTGTTGCTCTTGCGGTAACTTATGGTTAACTAAGGGTTTTTTATGAGAGTCTATTAAGCATTTGTGTTCTTCTCTCTTATCTCCACATATAGTATCTGATAGCACAGGATTTATCATTTTGTGCAGTTATTAGATTCTTTGATTTTTCAGTAGTAGAGACTGCGAACTCAACAGCGGGTGAAGGAGGAGCAAATATTTTATTAATTTCACAATGCTAAATTTAGTACGAATGTATCACTTCTGAATTCGTATAAAGCTAACACTTTATAAGCAAATGGTGCATCCTCCTCAGATATAAGAGGTTCTTTGTCAAGTGCTATATAAAAAAGTGAAAGAAAACAATAATCAGAATTTTCAGACTGGAATTTGAATACTACTTTGTTGAGAGAAATCATTACTGATACCATAATCAAGGACAGGGAGACTTTCCTCTTTCTTCCCTGCTGTAGAGGGACAGTTTGGGCCAAGGCTAACAAAAGGTGATCCCTCATAGTGCAAGGATTGTCTTGAGGAAAAGAAAGACTTCCCCTTTCTGAGGTCTACTTAGAGTGGTTTGGAATGGCCTCATGGTAGACTTCAAAGACTTAAACAGGTTTTGCCCGCAATGGAATTTGGATTTCCCTATGGACGATGACAGCGTTGTGGTCATAATTGGAGCATGCAGCATTTGAAGTACTTTAGATAGCAGGGCAAAAGAACTGCAACTAATGCCACAACAAGAAGTCCTAGATTCATATCTTTTTTAATAAGGAGATACTTGTCTATAGGTGGATTGATGCAGTTTTCAGACGCTCGCTATTTGGCATTTTATGTTATGTTTGAGAAATCAGTTTACTTAGTAAATATGAATTTGGCCAAGTAGAATTCATGACAGATTATGATCAGAAATGAAACTGGGGAGGAGGGGAGATTTCACTTGTACTTTAGCTAAAGTCTATGAACTGCAGTATCTCAGTAGAAGTGGCTGAGAAAGATGAAAAGAAAGTTATAAAAGCTTGCAAGAGAACTTACTGCTGAAATTTTATTTTCACATATTTGATATTAGCTACAGTGTGGTCATTATCTGTGCTGAATACTTGTAGTGGCAATACATCTTTATGTGCCAGTAAAATAGGGAGGTATATGCACAGCAGAGCTGACAATCAGGAGAATCATTTTTGGAGATTGCAGAGGATATGGGATACGTTGGTGGTAGCACTTGTTTCATCAGAAAAAAGCATACAAACTGCTGCTGCTGCTTATCAAAATCTTTTGCTTACCATAGCTAAGCCTCCTGATTTGGGTTGGTAAATCCTGTACTTACACAGATATCTGTTCTTTCAGCCCCTCAAGCATATTTATGTATTTACACTGTCTAGTAGTTGGCCAAAGACTGTAAGGTTTCACATCACCCTGAAATCTGTTTAATATCTGCACTGGGGAGAACAAGCTTGGGAAGGCCAGTGTTTGAAAGTGATAAAACGCTTCTCTGCAGAATAATGTAAACTGAGGGTTCAGTAAGAAGGGTGATGGGTACAGTTGTCAGGTAGTGTTTTACAACCTTCCGAAGACTGTAAGTGGTGCTTTGTGGATGTTAAAGTAAATTCATGAAAAATCTCAGTATGCAAATTATTTTGGCTCTGAGCACATACGGGAGACCACAGCAGTACAGATACAAGGCTTCAAGTGGCACTTAATGAAGCAAAATACATTGCAGCAGAAATGTCAATCACTACAGGGCTGACAGAAGTCCATCACGAGCAAGCAAAGGTCTGAGAGATTTGGAACATAAAGAAAAGCAGAGGTTTTGGAAAAAGATGCCAAGCTGAGTATTTTTCAGTATTGCTGTAGTTCATATACTGAAGCCTTGCAAGTATCTTTTTGGCCTCCTTACTGAACACAAATAAGTTTGGTCTATTTAGTGACTCCAAGGAACTTGCCTAGGATACCAGATTGTCATCTGTGGTGCTGATTCTGTAATTCAGATACCAGTGTCGTGATGTGTTGATTTGAGAAACCTCTTCTGCTAGAATCATTAAGTACTCTTGGACTCCAAAACTAAGTTGAAAAATCTTGTCTTCCTAATGTTTGTTCTGCTGCATGTGGCCTGCAGAATGTTGCTGACAGTCCCTATGACAGTTGCTCAGCACAGAGCAGCTTTTCAAGGCTGAAAGTGTTAAAGATATATTTTTGTTCAACATTTTGTTCAGAGTGTCCCCGGAACGCCTG